GTTTCTCGTTCTTTCGCTAAAATTGATTGAGCTAAATTTTTTCTTGACAATGATTCCGAATCCGTAAATGTTTCTAAAAAAATTAGATTTTATTAAAACAAAAAAATTTTATTTTCAAAATTTCTAACTTTCCATTTTTTGAATTTGTTCATTTAATGCTTCGATTCGTCTATTTAAAATAAAATAATAATAAATTAGGAAAAAAAAATTTGCACTAACCTTTCTCGTTCATGTAATGTTTCAGTTTCATTTTCAAGTTCGAGAATTTTTTTATCCTGTTAAATATTCAAAAAATTAAATTAAAATAAAAAACAAATGATTAATGCTACTTTTTCTTTTAATTCATTATCTTTATGTTGATTATAAGTTTCTACTTGTAATTGAAGTTGTTTTATTTGATCTTTTAACAAAAAAAAAAAAAGAAATAAGAAAATAAAAATAATTTCAAACCATTGGCTTGATTAAATTGATTTTGTAAATGATGTGTAAATGCTGTTTGTTTTCCATGTTGTGTTCGAAGAAGTGTTAATTCATATTCTAATGTTTGTCTTAACATTTCACTTTTTTCTAATTCAGATCTCAATCGTGCTAATTGACTTTGAACATTAATTAACTAGGAAAACAAAATTTTCTATAAATAAGAATTCAAGATTTTCGTCAAAATATACTTCTCTATTATTTGATGAAATTTGATTTAATTTATCTCCTTGAATATCTAATGTTCGACGAAGATTTTCAACTGGATTTTTATCTTCATTAAATGACATTTCAGAAACAAATGAATCACTTTCATACTAAATTATTTATTTTTGTAAAATATATATTTATTAATTCAAAATTTAACTTACATCATTCGTTAATGTCACCATTTTTTGGTTTAAAATGAATCTTAAACAGTCATAATAAAACCATATTTAAGTCATTCGAAATTGTCGTGGAAACAATGAATAATCCTCTTTTATATTCAATAGTGACATCTATAAAAAAAATTCTTATGGTCAGATGATGGGACAATGGTCTTCCGTCTCTTATAACAACAAATAAAATATTTAATTATTTTTTTAATATTCCTTAAAAGTTCTAAAATCCGAATTAATTTGTTTTACTATAAACTAATGAGTCTTTCACAAATTTAATTTTATATACCATTGATTGATACAGATTATTTTCTAAATAAATATACAAGAATGACAAAAGCATATTTTAAATGAAAAGTAAGTAACTTTAATGTAGTTTTATGTTGAAAATTTTAATTTTAATGGAAATTTTCGATCTTCTTTCGATCATTATCAACCTTTTAACAATATACCTACACCCTTTCATTTAAATTGATTAAAATCTCAAGATTATTATTTTTTCATACATTATTGATACATAAGTAGTATTAACAAATTGAATATGTTAGCTGGGGAATGAATTTAAGAACATTCATGGTATATGTTTATGATGTTTATGTTTAAATGATGACTACATATAGGATAATTTATACTTATTATTATATGATCTTTTTCATGTATTTTTCGTGTAAAATCTTTTTGTTTGTATCATCAGGTTGTGTTAAAAGGTTGATAATGATCGAATGAAGATTGAAAATTTCCATTAAATTAAAATTTTCAACATAAAACTACATTAAATTTATTTACTTTTCATTTAAAATTGATTAAATCTCAACATTATTATTATTATTTTCATACAAAAACATATATTTCTTCGAGTTAATAATATAATTGATGAAGACGTATAGACAGTATTTTCTATATATCTGTGTCAGGCAGAATTAAGATTTCATATAAATTTTAAAAAATAGTTCAGTTGTTATTATAATTTTAAATTTTAGAAAATTGTAGAGTTTAGAAGTTGTATTCAATAAAAACTAAAATAAAGTTTTGGAAGATGCAGAATGCGGTAGATATATAAAACAAAAACTATTTTGAAGAAGATAATAAAGTTTTATCCATGAATGAGGTGGATAGAATGATTAGTTTTATCTCATTGAGTAAGTTTTATCATTTCAGATCATGGCTACTAAATAAAAATATTTTAAAATAAGTTTCTCTTAAGGAATTGATACGTTATTTATCTTATCAGTTGTTACGAATTTTCTCGACCAAAAAAACAATCAAAATTTCGCACGGAAAAAAAATCAAATTTTGCCTGAAGTATATCCGAATCACCATTATATATAGGCAAATATTGTAAATCACAAGAACCAGTATTAATTATTTTTTTATCAGTCATCGATCTATTTATTCTGTGCTTAACCCTTTGAAACTCATGATTCAACCTACTTCGCATGAGCATTGGGTATTATCAGCACTTTAAAAGAAATATTTTAAGTCATTTTCAACCTCCCTACGCGAATGGTGAGAAATTTTTTAACCATTACGGACGCTGACTCAGTAGGGTTTTTAATCTTACATAAATATGTACGTCAAAGCTTCTTCGTTATCGTTCTATATTCGGAATTAATCATCTTCATTTAACACAAAATTTTAAAAAAAACATGATGTTTAAATGAAAGTATACACAAGCATTGTTTTTTTTATTTTAAAGACATGGATAGAATTAATGAATGATCAATTGATGAATAAAAATACTGATTAAAATAATAAAAATATTAAATGAAACTGTTAATGAATCGTTACAAAAAGGTACAGCAAAAGATGTTGATGAACCGCATTCTCGTGGATAAAATGCCCGACAAAGGTCTAAACATTCACGTCCACCTCCCAACCAACATCGATCAACATGAAATATATTTGGAAGGGTTTGTGGAACGCAATCTTTTACAGGACAACATCGACAAGCACACAAATCTCCATTGACCATGAACAGATGTAAAATGAAGATCGAAAATATGAAAACAACCTTCGACGATCGAAGCATTTTGTTAAATGGAACAAAAACAAAAAACTTCATTGTTATATTATATATCACGGATCATACTTTAAAATATCGTATATCAACCTTAATATCAATTACATGTATAAATATTGAATCATTCTACTGGTATAAACTTAACTATCATGTCATATTTCCATAAACTTTAGTAAATAAATACTTCATAAGCCAAGGCTATTCGTTCTTAATCATTGACAAGTTGTTTTCTTACTTCTTCATTTTAATTCAAATGACGAAATTTTTGTAACATTGATATCTATAACTTTTGTCATTCGATACTATTGTTGAAAATCAATTAATAAACTGTGTCATCATCCTTCTCATATATGTTTATCCTCTTGTTCTTACTTTATACATCATATTATATTTTAGCTACATTAATCGAGCGAGTCAGTAGAGGTATATTTTGTATGACAATGATGCTATTCTTGATCGAGAAAAATAGAAAAATCATCACAAGTTGTATTTCATTATTGTACAGAGTGTTTCATAAGTAACACCCCGATAAGAAATGCGTATAACTCCATTACTAAATATTTTTTTTTGTTTGAAAGAGGAGAACATAAAGCTATTTTTGTATACTGCAAAGTTTTGAAATACACTTGAAAAGCTATCCGTTTAAGTAACAAAATGAAAACTAATATTTCGCGAAAAATCGAAGACAACTCACTATTTTATTAGTTCAATATCTCAGTCTGAGAAAATAATAAAACCTTGATCTTTTCGGCAAAAGATGCACCTTCGAAAGCTCTAAACGAGAACGTCTTTCAAACATTTTTATTCTGCTGAACAGTAACAGTACTATATAGGTTATCCATATTGAAGTTTGTACTTGAGCAAGGAAAAAGTCAACAGAATTCGTTTATGTAAAATTTATAGAGATTTTCATGGTACGTTGTTTGCAAAAAAGATTCAGATTTTATCATTCTCTCCGACTGAGATATTGAAGAAATAAAAATATTTTTAATTTTTTTTCATATTTAGAAATTTTGTAGTACACAAAAATAACTTTATGCTGTCCTCTTTAAAACGATTGAATTTGTTTAATAATGGAGTTATGCGCATTTCTTACTTATGAAATACCATGTATAAATGTCTTGAAGTTTACTTATATAATAATGATCATATGAATAGAATGATGACGAATAAATATTTAACATACTGATGTTTTTTCTAATACGTTTAGATTACATTGAATATTCAATAAAGAATTCCAAAAAAGTTTATTTAAAAAGAGAAAAAAGCCACTACAATTACGTATGAATAAAGAATGGTCAGTTAGATGAAAGTCAATTTAATGTTATTCTTCTGATTTTTGTTCAAGATGTGAATCAATATTTTGAATTTTTCCATCTGAATTAAATATGTATGTAATATTATGTATATTATTACCGAAAGTAATAGTAGCATGTGCTGTATTCTTGTTTGAATCATCTTCTTTAAATTCTATACTTTTAAATTGAGATTTTGGAAAAGTTTCATGTTCTATTGAATAAAATTCTCGAGCTTCTTGAAGATTTGAATAAATCGTTTTTGAATTTTCTTTTTTTTCTACATTATTATCAAGAACATTATCAAGATGATTAACATCACGATTATTAACCATTTGTACAAATTGTTCAATTTTTTCTTTGTGTGATCCAGTCATATTTATTCTTCAATAAAAGATTTCTTGTAACTAGTAATGTAAACCTACTTATTTGAATAAGATGAAGTTCATGTTTACATGTACTATAATATATATACGTATACAATCTGTTATCTCTCGGATATTCTTTTGCGTTCTTATCGATCATTCTTTTTCTTTTTCTTTGGTAGTATTCGTAGATGAGAAGACAATAACATTAAACATCTTCGTTTAAAATAAATAGAGGTCGATACGTCCAGTTTTCTAACTTATAATTTAAATTCAAGTGAAAATAAATAAATAGACTAAACAATCATCACAAATTAATAATTTAAAGAAAAATCTATTTTTACTAGATTTTTATTAAAACAATGTAAAATATAGATTGAATACTATAGTTCAAAAAAACATCTATTAAATATATCCTACAAATAAAATAACTCTATAGATTTTTTTTGTATACATATTTCATTAAAATAGATTACAGTGGTTTTCAAAAAAACTGAGGGTGCGGGTGTGGGTGAATAAAGGGTGAGTCCATACCCACACTCTCAAGAGCCATACTAAAAAGAACGTTGCCTATCCGAGCAGTAGTGAAAATAAAGTGACCAAGCTGTTTTTTGCAAACCACTGTAAATATAGCCATTCTCTTGAAAACTCTAACCTTACAATCTCGTTTCTGTTAGCAATTCGAATACTTACATCTTTTAAATATTTAACATACATATGATTTTTTTTGATAGATTTAAATTAAATTGAATATTCAATAAAGAATTCTATTATTAAAGCAGAAAAGTTTAACGTTTATTTAAAGATAAAGATAAAGTAAAACACTACAACTACGTATGCATAGAAAATGCTTAGTTTCATAAAAGTTATTTTAATATTAATGTTGTTGTTGAAGATGTAAACCAATATTTTGAATTTTTCCATCTGAATTAAATTTATATGTTGTATTA